TAGTAGTAATGAAGAAGATCAACCCAAATTGGTGCAAAAATAAATTAAGGAACAAAAAGCAAAAATTTGTACCTTCAGGCCTTGACTACCTTGAGGAAGATAACTATCACGTTTAACCCAAGCAAAACAATCTAGATGGCAAGCAAATTTTGCTCGACATTCCCCTTGACTGTTGTCACATAGAAAACCCAACTCCTGCAAGTTTAATTAACCAAAAAGATAAAATAAAAGGAATAAGCATTACCAATCAAAAAAAGAGAAAAGAAATCATTAGAACTTGTAGAATGTTCTTCCAACTAAGGAATAAAATTGAAACCTGGAGACAAATGCCCCAATATCTATGCAGAAAAAAAAAATCGTAAAACCACTTCTGCATAGCAGCCAAATATTTTCCCCATGCAATACATGGGAGACATAATAACTTAAAAGTTCCTCAAACACTAAATTTTTTGATCCTATGACAACATAGTGAAATATTAATTGCACAAAGTTTCATAATTTGAATGAAGTTGAAAAAACAAAAAATGGTTAGATAGACAGACCCTCCAAGTGAAGAAACACTATATGTTCATTAACTGTTGATAAAAGAATGCTATTTATTTAATCAGAGTAGGAAAAAATAAAAGAAACTGTTTAGAGGTAATACACTCTAACCAATTTTTTTCTAAATTTTTCCCTACTCAGTAGAAGTTAATTGTTCTAACAGAAATGAAATGGTTACCAACATACATCACGCATTTTGAACCCATGATAAGCTGCCCTTCTTTCCACAAATGGCCAATCAAAGAAATCACCGTTATATGTAACATATATCCCAGGTTTCACGTCTTGCATATGAGAAAACCATAACTTAAGAAGTTCAACCTGCAAGTAATCCCAAAATCAGAAATCAACACAGCACAACAACCTAAGGGAACAGATTTTCATCAGGTAAATCATGCATATCTCTGTGGATTCACATTACCTCATTTTGAACATTTGTCACTTTAAAACATCCTTCAAACTCTGGCTTTGGAGTGTACTCCAAATCCTCTATATCATCCCCAACACACTAAAAGTCAAAGCAACAAAAATAATTTGATTACTCAACAGCATCAACCTAGGATTAAAGCCTTATAGTATAGGCATTAAACTTTAGGATAAAATCGTGATCGGTACAAAATAGTAAAACACAGATTTATGATCCTTTAGGCCATGCTTCATACTTAATTGGCATTAGCATGATTATAGATCCCAAATTTACAATCAACGATTCATATTATATTCAATAGCTTAACACAAATGACCCGACGTCATGTGAACCTAAAAGAGGGTAATGACTAAACATATTTGGGGTCAAAATTCCAAATTCTAGTGACCTCTTATGAAAAGAATGAGAAATCAAATGAATATCATATTCAGTAGACTTCTATTATGAGGTTTTGATGAAAAGAGTCCCCATTAAACCAATGACTGGGAGGGAATATGCAGTAAACAGTGTCAAGCATTAACCATTTTTTATTACCTCTCTATTTATAAGCAAATAGCCTTTTCCATCTACCATGTATGAAATCATCATAATTAAGTCATAGTCAGCATCAGGGAACTTCAATGGAAGTTTCGTGGTCTCTATATCAAAAGCACAAATACGAACTTCAGCACGCTGCAGAAGATCGGTCCTCTTCTCAAGTGTAACCCCAGTGTTGGTCACACTAACATCATACCATTGGCCACATCGAATATCTGGGTGACATGTGATTCAGCATATCATGATAGATTTGGAAGACAGCATGTGAGAACAGTAGGATAATTATCAAAAGCAAGAAGTATTATAAAAGGTACCATTATCAATGGCAAAGCGAACATGATAAGGAACATCATATTCACGAAGATCAATTATATAATCTAGAAAATCCTGGGATTTTTGCTCCCTACAAAACAAGAAGCAGGATAGCATCAGATTGAGTGATTAATGTCATGTTCAAATTAAATGGACACTGCCTTGAAAGGCAATAGGCCACCATAAGGAAATAAATGAAACACTTCAATATCTTGTTCCATGAAACAAAACTAAATGTAGATGAAAGGCACCTACCTTCTTCCAGTTAATATGGATTCATAAGCTTCTGCTGCATCAGATCTTGCCTGATTTCTTTCAACAACATGCATCAGGTCACTCTTCACGTTCATCAATTGTTGCACAGTGTCAAATGATAGCTTTAAATAAGATTTTTGTAATCCAGACAAATGATTTTTCTGTCGAGAACATGGAATCAAAGTGAATTCTAGAGATAAAAAAGCATGCACAGCCATATTGTTGTTGGATTAATGACAAAAGTAAAAAATGTCTAAAAAAAATGCAGATATATGAGTCTCATGCGTCAGTTCCATGGAGATATTACAAAACCTGCAAGCATATGCATGAAATTAATTCTGAATACATCATGCATAATAGTGATTTGACCTTCTCAAATTGTGGAAGTAATCTTCCAACCATGAAGATAAGTATTACAAGAGTTTCTGGAGGCAGAATGGAGTATTTATAAATCAAAAGGAGGGTGCTGCTCATCATGTATCAGGTAGAGATAAGCAGATAGAAAGATGCATATATTGCTTACAAGATCAAGGTCTTCCTTCTCTTTAATTTCAATATCTGCAATCTGACTTTCATAACGCCGCCTTAGATATGCTTCAACTTCCATCTCCATTCTATCCTATTGATTTCATAAAGCCATCATTGAAACTGATATCAAGGTTGGCATCTTAAAATTAACACCGAAATAGAAGATATCAACAAAAACACAGGCACACATACATATGATTGCATAGAAACACACAGGCACGCATATAAACCCAAATGTGTTGTCTCCCCTGCCGTGGATGCATGTATTTGCATTCTTACCTTTGTAGCCACATAGAAATAAGGCTGAAATCTGTACTTTGACTTGAACATAGAACCATCCTGATGCAAAACTCCAAACAGTTAATTATTTACCAAACCAGGTTACCCGTATAGTAGAAAACTAGTGAGAAGTTGATTTTATAGAGAAGCAGTTCGGCAGAATTATATACCTGCGTAACAAAATAAAGATCTACACAACTATGGACTTTGTGTGTATCTTCATCCTCCCAAGATGACTGTAACGAATGAAAAGCACATGTAAATCCCTTGGAATCGTACATGAAATGAATTAATACGCATTTTAAGAGACATTCGTTATGCAATCAAAGAAGATCTGTATTCTATTATGGCTTCAAGAACAAATTGACTTTTTGCGGCGGTTTATTGATCTCATTCAAATTGACTAGTTGTGGAAAGAAACTCTCAAAAAAATGAATCATACAGATGATGATGGTTAAAAGTTTGAATGTATTTGTAGACTACATCTTGAGTAGCAAACAGCACTATCACTGGTGATGCCGCTGGTAGTGGCAGCAAAAATGAGAAAGGTAGTCAGTACGTAGAATATAAATAATGCAAGAAAGACATGGTGCAGAGAAAACAAACTAGAATCGAAGTTGAAGATGACATTGGTAGTTCGCCAGGAAATGCGAAGAACAAAATGAATTTGATTGCCGATCTGTCCACAGTTTCTTAAGGCAACAAGTTGCCGTGACGTTCATGACCACTTTGTAACCCGGAGCCATAATGAAGCTACCATTCAATGCAGTCATGCTAGCGTGGTAAGTACAAAAACCATAGTAAATCGTAATCACTAGCAGTGAGATTAAATTATCCTTTTTCATGAATACAATGCCATAACTTGTAAATGTTATATAATCTCAAAGAGTGAAGCAGGAAAGCTGGATAGAGAGGATGAATTCATAATTATATCACGTTTCCAGAAACGGGAAAATTAAGTAATAAATATATAGATATATATATTGAGATGAGACCATAGGAATGGGAAATGGCTTACGGATGAAAAATTTAGCAACCATCCAAGTCGTTTCTCGCCCTCTGAGAAAAGATCGAACCCTAATTTAGACTCGAGTTCTTCTTCAGCGTTGCGGATTAGCTTCTGCTTCTTGGCTCTGCGGGAGTCTTTGCGGTCCCATCTTCGGCTTTCATTGTTCATTGTTAGTCAGCGGATCAAGGATTTTCTGCCAGCAGGATCTTGACAAACACAGATTATGCAAGTTTTTCAGAGCTCCAGTGGTCTATCACGTTCAGGACAGGAAAGTGAGGACAATGAGCGGCAGGTCAAAGTGGAACCGTGGGAGCAGTGATGTTTTCCCGCGCTTTTCTATTCCCGGCAGATATAATAAAATATTTGGCCGTTGTGACATAATTGCCCCCACGGCAGCGGGATGCTCGACTACCAATTCCCAAACTCCCAATTGCGCAAGCATCAATATTCAATATTATCTCAATATTGTTAATAATTTTCAATTACCCAACTGTCACCAAATTATATGTATATACTATTACTAATATAAATAGTGTGCATGATTATCAACAAGCTACGGTACTTAGGTCAATGTACATTATATTGAGCTTTATTGGTAAGAAGTATTTTCAGAAGAGTTCAGCTGAAAACCTCAAGTCTGAATTAATCAGGAATTGAGAGATCTAATAATAAGTTAATGTCTCATGAATCACACAATCACACATAAAAAATAATTTAGATAAATTTTTGCTAATGTAAAATATTTTTTATTTAAAAGTTAGTTAATACAAATTATTATTCCTATTCAATATAAAATTTACAGGAAATTACATAAATCGGGGGTCTATAAAATATCAGTTTGCAATTAAAATAATATTTTTTAAAATGCCTATATTTTTTTATATTTGGTATTCTTTAAATTTCTACGTGATTACTTTATATTAATAATTTTTGCTAAAAGAGGGCGAAACCGTTGCGAGAAGAGGCCTAGGTTGAGGCCCATATTTCCTATGGCTCGACCCGTTTTTTCTAGCCCAGCTCGACATCATCGCTCCAAAAGCCTTACTGAACGCTTGTCAAAAAAAAAACTGCTGAACGGATATGATTCGCTCAAAAACCCTAGTTGTACATAATACATATACCTCGGCCCCCAAATTCTCCGCCACCCTCCTACCAAAAAAGAGCAGCTGCGCAGTCCCCCGTCACTTGAAACAAGTATGCATTCTTTGTTAGCAGTCTCATGTCCATTTCCCGCTGATTTACGCGTTAAAATACACTCTTTTTAGTAATTTGTAGTACTTACAATAGCTTGCGCTAATTTGTATTCGAGGCAGAGATGAAGGTGATCGCTGCGTATTTGCTGGCTGTATTGGGAGGGAACGCGGCCCCTACCACCGACGACGTGAAGCACATCCTGGGCTCAGGTGAAGGATCCTTTTATTTTATTTTTGGTCTATCTTCTCTACGGTACATTTGTTTCACACTTATTCAGATTCCGGAGTTATTATCTATTCCACTTTTATTTTACTGTAAGCTAATTGTTGCCTGGTGGTTGTAGTATTTATGATTTGAACCATAGAATTACATGACTTGGTCTATAATACTAGTCAATTGTTTAGTGTACGTACCCCACAAACAATATCATACTCTTGCAGGCGAATTGACGAAGGAATAAGTTCCTGCACTTGTAAAATTAATTGAGTGGGATTTGTGGTAGCGGCCATGAGAGGAATGAAGATACGGGACGGAGAAAAAGAAACTAACTTCTCATTGCTGCCGGTTCAATTTGGCGCAAAACTACGTTTAAGGACACGTGCTGTGTGAATTTAGATTAAAGAATATCAAATACTGTAATTATCTTCGCGTATCAGAGTTATTATCAGTCTTCTTATTTCGTACCTACTTTTAAGTTTTAACGAAGTTGGTTAAGAGGGTACTTTCCAAAAACTTGTAAGGTGCCTAAAACAAACTAGTGGTAGCTCTGGTGAATTTAGATCTTCTTGAAGCTAAGCTGTCCATGGATGTGATAGAACGTGACACATATGGTGGGGCGTGTTTGGAGCACACTTACCCCTCCAGACTCCATCTCATTTTTTCACTCTTCACAAGCTTCTAATTTTGGAAGACTAAGATCCAAATAATTCTATTATTTAGGATGCTTTACCTTAAAATATTCGCCAATTAGGTCCCTAGAAGTAATGTTCCCCAATTACACCACACACATTGAATTTTTACATTCCAGTTAGTTTTATTGAAAGTCTTCTGTGAAAAGATGTTTTATTGTTGGCTGTCACCTGTGTTCAATCCAATGCCACTGATGGAGGAAATATAGAATGTGTATAATTTATGAGATTTCTGTGCTGCTGAGTGGCCCTTTAAACTCTGCTCCAAAGCAAGCAAATTATGAATTTACCGTTGTTTCGAAGGTTCAGTGAGTTACTTGCCAAATATGATGATAGGTTCTTCATGTTTGATTTGTGATTTACAGTTGGTGCTGAGATTGATGATGAAAGGATTGAGTTGCTTTTGTCTGAAGTCAGTGGTAAAGACATCACTGAGCTAATTGCTAGTGGAAGAGAGAAGTTGGCTTCAGTACCTGGAGGTGGTGGCGCAGTTGCTGCTGCTGCTGCACCTGCTGCTGGAGGTGCTGCTGGTGGTGCTGCACCTGCTGCCGAGGCAAAGGAAGAAAAGGTGGAAGAGAAGGAGGAGTCTGATGATGTAAGATCTAAATTTACGCAGCTGATTTTGTTTTTAATGATTTCCCCATTTCACTGACAATGACATATTCTTGTTTTCCTTGTGTTCATCGAACTACAGGACATGGGCTTTAGTTTATTCGACTGAGACTACTTCACTGCTTCCTTTATCAGAGGGGTTTGCCGTCCTGGTCGCGAGCTTAGTACAACCACAGTTTTTGTTGTTGCAGCGGCATATTGAGTTAGGTTTTGCTTTTTCTTTGAGACAATGTAATGATATCAAACAATTTGACATGATTATTAATGTTTTGAATTATCTTTGATTACTGGCTGTTAAATTTAGTGCATTCGACTCCGCTTGGACGGGATTGATAGAAAACGAAGCATATATCAGTAACTGACTACCAACTAGAGGGGTGTTTTTTAAATAATGAACTAGAGCCTTGCAGAGGAATCGCTGAGCCCCCTCGAAATGTTACGTAGGTTGTTCCACCATTTGATCACCGTGCTCCCGAAACAACTACAGTACGAACAACACCAAAACGCCATGTCGTTCTTTGCACGCGAAGGAAGGGGTTTTTTTTTTGTTTTTTTGTTTTGTTTGTTGTGTGGTTTTTTTTTTGGTTTTTTACCAGCTTGTGTGGGTTGTTACTTGTTGATGATTCAAGCGACAACATATTGCCCAACAGAACATACCAATTTGTTCTGTTGTTCAAGCCCAACCCAAGACAGCTGATACACTGGATCCAGCACCGGACAGACGCACGGCGCCGGTCAATTTCTTTCTTTCTTTTTTTTAAATCATCTATGACAGAAATTCTTTTTTTATTCTTATTATTATTGATATATATTGATATTAATTACTGGTTTCCTTGTTGGTTGATTGTTGCCTTGCAAATTCTAATGCTTCATTTTTGAAACATCCTGTGAAAAAAATATGGTAAAATAGATGAATATTTCTTGGAGAAGGCAATTCTGAAGTCACTTTTAGCGTGAGGGTGTGGGTGTCCTGAATGAAACGTACAAATAATGGTTAGGCAGATTTAGGTTGGAGCAGATGAGTAGTTCATGGGGGAGAGCAGTGAAAACAATGTTGGTTGAAAGTTGAGAAAGAAGAAAATGATGAGGAAGAAGTTAAGAAAGCGAGGGCTTCTCACAAACTCAGAAGCTAGTGGTTACAAGAGAGCCCCACAATTATGTGGGATGCACGGCCAATCACGTGGGGGGATGCATGTTCTTGGCATATAAAAACACCACAGGGACATGGCTCGTACATCTCCTCCACGCGGTGCCACCGCCTATCAAACGCCCACAAGTCAATGTCATTTGTTTATACCTGCGTTGTCTTATCCCCCTATTTGACCTTCTGGTTCCATAAATCTTCCACCCTACACAACAAATCGTTAGCGTAGATTGTCTGCAACTGCAAACTGTTGTCCCAACCACTTCACCTTCATTTATCAACATCAACTCTTTTTTACCCAGTACAATTGATGACAAAAGGTGCTTATATAATTATCTCACTTCTGGTATTGAATTTCACACACACACACACACACACACAATAATTTGCAGCACCGTGCCCTCCTTAGCGTATTACTTGGACATTAATTATTATGCACCTAATAAAAACGTATAAAATGATAATTCCAAACAAAATTTCTAGCATAAGATCGCGGACACATTAGTCGATATCCCCTTTTCAGACTATTGGCACTTGACAGCAACAGTTTGGCATGCATATCGATCGGCCTCTGGCTCTTGCATATATTAAGAGACACCTATATTAAAATGTTGGGGCCCGACAGCACTCAAAACAGCTAGCTTGGGTGGATTATATAAATTTCATCTTAGTCATTTTTCTTCAGTATGCGACGCTTGCTTGAAATCTAATGAAAGACCAGACAGACATAAATGAAGAAAAAGCATTGAATTTTGTGCAACCGCCTTACTAATTACTGCATTATTATTATACTTATTATCAGTAATAATCAATAGGAGTCTCGGGACAGCTTTCGTCAGATACAGCTTCTTTAGTATAAGGTGGGGGCACATAGGGTGGAGGGGTACACCTCAACAATGCCCAGTTCACGCCTTGAAAAAAGGGATGGTGTTTTATCGCCGACGAACCCATCTTTGAACCTAACCGCCTCGTCGGGTCCTTCACCAATAACTGCGAGATAAGATCCTTCGCCGTGGCCGGCACGGCTGGTTCTTTTGGGAACTCGAGGGCTCGAGCCACGATGTTAGCTAGGGTTAGCTCATTGTCCGGTCCCCTAAACGGCGTCACACCGTAAAACAGTTCAAATATAAATATGCCCAACGTCCACCAGTCCACCGCACTACCGTGTCCCTCGCCGGACACTATCTCCGGCGCCAAGTACTCGTGGGTCCCAACGAATGACATGGACCGCACATCAATAGGCTCGGCCACAAACTCAGGACCGTTACGCAGGCTCTGCTTCTTCTTGCGCTTTCGTTTTGGGTGAAAGCACGATACAGCGGGAACTATGCAGTTGGGAAGTATGCAGGAAGAGGAGGCAAAAGGAGGGGGATCAACGTGGTAATCCTTATTCTGTGGGACCGAGGGAGCCGGGTTTTGTTCAGAAATGATCTGAGCCGTTGATGAGGAATCATCGCCTTTTAACGACAGGTCAAAGTCAGTGAGCATGATATGGCCGTCCGATCGAACTAACACGTTCTCGGGCTTGAGATCACGATACACTATCCCCAGCATATGAAGGTATTCTAGAGCCACCACCACTTCTGACGCATAAAACCTGCAAAACGCCATGACAAGAGTAAATGAATCCACGACAACAGTATAATTCATGAAAAAGTAATTAAAAGTATAATTCTTCATGATGCTAAACAACGTGTTTTATCGTGTTAATTAGCATGTCAGTTATCAGCGCCTTATTATTAATATTAATAATCATATTCATACTACAAGATGGAGAACACGAGAATGCGGAGTCAGTGCGCGACTTCAATCCACGCACGTTGTGCGTGTCATTAAAACGACGACGCTTGGGCCGAGAAGCAAGTTTGAGATCAAGAATTGTGTTTGGATGAGTGCTTTTGTTTCTGAGTTCAGAAACCAGTGCTTGATGACCTTTTTTTTTTTTCTCCTAATCTATCTCTTTCATGACGCAGTTAGTTCTTCAAGTAATATATGGCTGCGTTCAGCCTTCCCATCGCTATGCAATAATTCTGCTATTTGGTGCCTCTGAATCCCAAATCCGATTTTTTTTTCCCCCGACTATTGGAGTACAGTAGCGAGTCAACACGGAGTCATGGAGATGGGTTTCATTTCAGTATTTCACTTTTCACTGCTTTTAATATGCAGAAAGAGAAAGGAGGCACATGAAGACATTTCAACCCCCAAAAAAAATGATGAAGCAGGTAAGATGAAGGCCAAAATGTCGACGTTTTGTCGACAGGCACACTGTGCGGGGATCAATGCCACGCACAGGATCGACGTCTCCGATAACAATGTACTTGGAAAAAAAAAAAAACAAGTACTCTTTTGTAATTCAATTATTCATAAAGAACAGTCACAAGCTGTGCTCTTTGTTTTTTGTGGCAGACAAGCTGTGATCTTTTCAAATAGAGAATCATAAGAAAAGGACGGAATGATATACGTGTAATTCGGGCATTGGACAGGAAGAATCCTGGCCTAAATTGGAGAGAAGTCAATAATTCTCCTGGCTAAGACGATTATTGGGGGCATCATGACACAAAAGAGTCAAGGTGTTTGTGAGAATATTGGCTATTAATTATGCCAACCAAATGGGTCATGGGACCAAACAAGAATGGGTTATGCACCTTACAGTATAGTTTAAGGGCACCGTGACCTGCTTTAAGGATTCTCCCACCCGCAGCAATCTCTTTAAATGTTGTTTTTGACTTTGTTTGGGGATGGGATACTACTACTATATATTTTTTATCATTTTATATGATATATATTTATAGTGATTTTCATGGTGGAAAATTTTATATGACTAACAGTTGGCATTAATGATCAAATAACAACATTTAAAGTTTTTAATTATTTGAAGAAAAAGGACATATTCTCAACAATTTTTCTGAAACGAATGACTGAGAATTTCAAATAACTGTATATTCCCAAATTTCAGATGTAAATAAAGCGTCTGGGTTTCAAATCGAACTCTTAATTTAAGATTAAAATTTCTATTTGCGACTATATATTTGAAACAATTTGCATCTCGTATTTTAGAAATTTTTTTTCATGAACCTAACTCGTCATTTTTTCCAGACACTTACATATACTTTAAATATAAAAAATCTTTATTCTTTATTTAGATTTCATTTCTCTTGCTCCCTAAAAAAATGTTTTTCTATCGACATACATGCACCAATAACATGTTTTGTCTTTGCAAGAAAAAAAATATTGTTAGCTTTTGAATCGGCCTAGCATAAAGCAATATCTACGAGGCAGCCAGTATTATTCTTGAGGAACAGAAAATATGTCAATTTCCCTGGCAAATATGTCCACCAAAAGTTGTTTTTTAAAAAAGCTATGTTTCATGTAAGACGTGCAAGTAATGACAATAATATGAAGGGTGAGAAAATGATTCTTCAACCAAAGGTGGTATTCTCATTTCAAAATAATGTCTCCTATTATGCTCTCTGATCTGACGGAACAAGACCTGAAAAACCCCAGCTTTTACTTTTATGTTCGGCCTCGGATTTATCGCGAATGAAGCATGCAAATCAAAGAGAAAAATAAATCAAACACAATATGTATGTTGTCCCTGGAATTTTCCTGAAAGGGCCTCGAACCAGAGAGACAGGCCATGAACATAAATATCCTATGTATCTGGCCAGTGAATTACGAAAGAATCAGGGAAAAGCAAAACCTCGTCACGTCATAGAATTAGAATTAAAAAATTAAAAAAAGAGCCTGATCTCCGGAATCTAGTAAGAGGTTTTTGAAGAACATCTTCCAATAAGGGGACATTGCGAGATTAACAACCACTTTAAATTTAAATAAAACAGAACGCCAGAATTCCCGCAAAAATTTGGGGAATCAATCATAAACTATTTGGACGGTTTCCCCTTGAGATCCCCAGGGTCATCCACAGATTCATCTCTGAAGATGTCAAAAAACCTCCCACAGCCTAGAAACTTTCTAATTTCTCTTGTAATTCACCAACTTAAAAAACTAACAAACAGTAGATACAATCATTCGACACTCAAGTAATCCTAGTGAGTAGCTGACCTAGGAAAGGCTTCGTTTTTGACTTTTGACTTTTAACATCAGGATCGTTTTACCTACAATATTTGCCGCCTTAATTAACGGTACGTCAATGGGTACGTGCTATAATTATTTGCAACGCACGTGGTAGTTCGGGTCCAGGTGGAATCAATCTAACAGTTAAATAGGAGTTAAAACTCACTGACGGTCTTGGCCACCTGGACAAATGTTACTGGTTCTAAGATTTGAAAGGACATGGCATCAGATGGTCCATTGACCTCTCTCAACAAGATATTCGATGATGGGGAGTAACCGTGGGTCATCACATAATTACCTTATCAATCTACTGCCTTAACGAACGTACTAGCTAGGCCATCCAAGTGCATGTGTTTTGTCATCATGGATCCACTAACGACGCCGTTCCGATATCACAACTACCGAAAACCCTTAATTTAGAATCAAACGCATTATGGGGACCCTCCTCCCGGAGATGTGCTCCTGTGCCGGAGAAACAAGCCTAACGGAAAAGGCAAACGGCTAAAGCGATGGCGACAAATAGTGGGCTCCACACCTGACAGGGCATCAGCTCCGGCCAGATGTCGGGGCCCACCGAGATCGATCATTTTCACGGTATGTTAGTGGCTATGAACACCCATGAGGGCGGAGGTGAGAACGCCCGTACTGGATCCCCTCAACTCATTTCTTTTCCCCCCAAGTGAACTCCGACAATAGAAGATCCAGCTCAAAAATAAAAAATAAAAATAATGTCAGCGAAGTGATTTGCTAAAGTGCGCACCTGACGGCGGGTTCATGGAAGCGCTTGTTGGGCTGTCGTTGTCGGAGCACGTGCAAATCACCGCCGGGGCAGAACTCGGTCAAGAGGCAGATCCATCTGGGCGCGTCTATGGTCTCGTAGAGAGTGGGAAGAAACGGGTGGTCCAGCAATTCGAGAATTTCCTTTTCTGTCCTCGCCCTCCCTTCCTTGCTCCGACTCGCGAGCTCTTTCTTGTCCATCACTTTAGCCGCGAATAGCACGCAACCCTCCTTGCCATTGCTGGTGTATTTGAGCTCCGTGAGGTAGACGGAGCCTATGTCGCCGGAGCCCAGCCGGTGGCTGAACCGGAGGTCTGAGGGGGCTATGCGCTGGCTCGGGGACTCCGATCGGATTCTGTGGATGGCAGCCCAACAAGGGTCCGACGAAGGTGCGTGGGGTTTAGTAGTGGTAACGAGTGGGAGTGAAGCCAGGCGGGCAGAGGTTGAGTCAGTTAAGGTTGTTGATTCTGAGCCGGAGCTTGTGCTTCGTTTGATATCGGTGGCGGTGGTGGTGGAGGCGAAGCTTAGGCTCTGGAGGTCGTCGGCTAGATCCTCGATCCATGTCTCCATTGTGAAGGGCCGGAAGGGCTTCGGGGAGAGAAGAGAGTGATGGGGGTGCTAGCTTGATTCAACTTTGAAGTGAGTTGAAACTTGGGAGAGTGAGCAATTTTTATTTTTAAAGGTTGAGGAGCCTGAAAACGTGGCATCCGTTTGTGTGGGAAAAACGACGATGAAAAATAAAATAAAATAACGTGTGGGCTGAAAAAATTGGATCGGGATACATTTTGGGAGAATTTAATGAGATCGTTCCTTTTGGAAAATTTGATTTGAAAATTTAGCCACATATGTCGTCCCAGCAAAATAAGAAAGCGTATAAATTGCATTAATTAATGATTGAAAGCAAAACATTTTGTTTCCCTGATATAAAGATAAGACATTTAAATGCTGCAACAAAAATTTCACGCGGCTGATACGAGCAAGGGTGTATTTTAGACGAGAAGGGGGGGAAAAAAAAGTATGAGATGGACCAAATCCACTGCTTCTGAAGTTGCATAGCACACGGGAAAAGGTACGTACCCGTGAGTATATGCATATCCGTGCTAATATTTGTAAAAGCTAGACATCGTCATTTTAAAACTTATAATTATAACGTATATTCTAATAGCAGATAAAAAACAAAACACAACATATTGTAATTATATGCATGGTTTAACAAGCAGTACCAATAATGAATTATCTAGTCCCACGCTGCCACTCGATGCTTTAATTAATCAAGTAAAGTAAAGTGGACCAAGTCCAGGCCACCACCCTAATTTTGTTTCGGTTCACTTAGCAGTATCGTTGCTGTAGTATTTGATACGGAGAAGCAAACAGGGAGAAACAGCCAGTTGTCTCATGAATGTGCCATCGCTTGTTTTGTTCGAATGTCTTAAATGCCAACTCCCCTGATGATAGAAACTTAAGACTACGCGAATCATCGCCGTCCGTTAAAATAGGCAGAGAGCGTGATATATATAGCCAATCCACGTAATGCTAATTCCATCCACTTACACAGGCAAGTCCTCTTATCGTGATAAAGATGTTTCATGTGATATGACGACGCATTCAAAATAGTCTCGGGCTCTCAACTCATCAAATTTCTGGACACTAAGAGGGTTGTTACAGAGAGTGATAGCAGCGCAGTGGTGAACAATTTTCACGATATGACCAGCACATCAATATTGCAATTCAGACCATTTCGATTCCTCACAGCCAAGTCTCCTTTTAATTGTATGGAATATCAGACTGGTTTTTTAGACTAGCAGAATTGCTGAAGTAGTTGAGCATGTTTTATGTTTATCTGTCGCCGTTCGTTGAATTACTTTTAGACTATGATCCTATTTGCTTCATATTATATTTATATGCGTGCATCTATACATACATACATATATGTGTGTGTGTATATGTACGTGGATACGACGAGCGTAATAGGGACCCCGGGCCGGGTCAAACTCAAGTGCATGGAATTAGACTTGAGTCCATCTCATCTCAATCCAACAGGTTCAGTTTATCTGCGTTGGGCTTATCTGCAGCCCATTATTCACGCAGTAGTCTTTTGTAGTTTTCTTTTAGATTGCTGGGCTTTGAGTATTTTCTCATACGCAGTCATGGAATTAACAATCTCCGCACCAATAGGGATTAGGGCCAAGCGATGAATTAACGCTGGGAACTTGGGATCCCCAGTCCTAGTTAAAAGAAGTACTTATATTTAATATTTGATAATTTTGTGAATAAAAATGTCTCAAATGCAAATACGATTTCCAGTAATGAGGTCATAAGGTCTACATTTGAACAGCTGAGGCCATTTTTTTAGCCCAAAAAATTATATCCATTGTGCAAATAAGTCTTTGGAAATTGGATTAACTTTTATCCATGTCTATAAAACTGTTAGATTGATCTACTATCTTCTGTTCTAATTATAAGATTTTGTTTGTAGACTATAAACGAAGCCTTCTAATTAGGACAAGAGGTAATATTTCATAACTATTTTTATTTCTGTTTGTTCTAAAAATTTAATAAATATAAACTGTTTAATTTAAAATTAATCGAAAAAATAAATAAAAAATAGAGCGGCTGCACGTGCCCGGTGCCCCTGCACCCAATCCAAACGCCAGCTTTGACGCTGGATTAGCGATGGGCCACGAGAGTCAAGAGAATGGATCTCAGATAGTCAGATGTACATCGGAAAAAAGATGGTGGGTCGGGCATGAACCGGGTCGAGAGAATTCCACGAGTCCAGACAAAATGGCTCGAGAGATCCTGATCCTTCTTCGGAGCAACCCTAGAAAGCTGTCCTCCGATTGTCCTCTGCCACAATCGAATAGTCTTGGGCGTCTCGAGACCTTCGGCTTCATTCAGAGTACGCATCCCTTTATCTTCGATACCACGGTGCTTGAGTTTAACCAAGTGCTTTTACATATCTCATTTCTGCTATGGAAAATGTCAATGAACGTTCCCATATTTCCCTAGGGTTAGTTGCTTTCGGTCGATTAATTTGACGGTGCTTTGGAGATTTTCTCAGCTTAATCAATACTCATTTCAACTCGGTTATAATTTTGTTGAATTTGATCTTCTGGCTCTTGGACTTTTAATCGTGCTTCGTTTAGTTTGACTAATTCTTTATCTGTTTATGCTCTGTGACATCTTAATACCCCTTTGCAATTTGATCATTGATTGCACATCTGTGTATTTCATACTTATTTCTCCAGCCGGAGCTCTATAGCAGCCACACCTCGTATCCCTGAATTATGCATAGCCTTGCCCTAGTCTTGTTGCAGTTACCAATTTCTAGTTATCTGATATAATTATGCTTGTTCGTTCTGAATAAGGTATATTCATGGACTGGCATCTATGAACTATGAAGTCAGGTGTAATTGTTTGCCATTGGCTAATTGGATGTGACATGGCACAGGAGCTCGTAGGATGAATATGAAGTTTAAAGCCCTGCTTGTGTTCTTTTTTACATTGGTCGATGTCTGTTTTGATAAATAGTTTGTCATCAACGCCAGATATGATTTAAAACATAGGTGTGAATGATCTTAAAATGCATGTTTTATTTTTTTCTTCCCGAAGGGTTGTAAATAAATGTACAGCAATATAGTTATGAACTACGCACATCAAATTTGTAATATGCTGTGTTATTAGTATCTTGTATTTTAAAAAAAGTTTTTTCGGGGTTCGGTGTTGGGATGTTAAACAATACCATATCAAGTTGAATAGCCTTTATGTTGAAATGCTGGATCAATGTGTAAGTTCTTTCCTTGGTGGTTTTTTATGGTCCAAAATTACTAAACCGTGTGATTATTACTCATTCATCTCCGGCTGCATCTGGCGGTTCAAACATTGTTTTAATCTGTTTGGTCTGCTAGATAGTGATGAGAAAGCTAGGCATGATACCAAATTGGCTTGTTTCTGGGGGTAGAGCATTTCTGAGGCACCATTATGTTATGGTTGTGTAGGATGACGGAACCACCCTTCAGACCACGTGAGCAACTTCTTGAGAAGCAAAGATATTTTCAGACCATGCATAAGCACACTTACTTGAAGGGGCCATATGACAAGATCACCTCTGTCGCAATACCACTTGCATTGGCAGGAGCTTCAATCTACATGATTGTAAGTGTATGATTAGCTTATCAAATTATTATCATGAAATTTCTAATTTTGACTCTCTAGAAATATAACTTTTTAATACTATTTTCTCCAGGGACGAGGTATCTATAACATGTCGCTTGGAATAGGAAAGAAAGAATGAGGGACTTGGGAATTTCTGCCGAGTGCTTGGCCTAAGCCTCACGATAGTTCCTTGAATGAGACCTGTTTTTCTTTGCACACATGTTCGGTTTCTTAATAAATTTGCCTCGTTGCAGACTTTGATCATCAATGGAAGTGTAAAACTTAATGGACCCCGGTTTTTTTTGTTTATTTGACGTAAGTCGATTGACGGTTTAAATTGTGAAAGAAAGTTTACATTACCACGCTATATGTCGTTGGCATTTGTAGATGGAGCTAGAGATTTTATTTGTTGATGGAGTCGATGTCAGACATTCTAGCCACTATCTTGTGGTCTGGCGGCGTGTTCTCAAGCTGAAAGAAAATTTACGCACTGAACAGTTATAAGGGGAAAAAATCCCTAAATATTCGATATCATGTTTCTTGGGTTCGATCATATGGAAATGGAAGGGTTACAGATTTTGTGACAATTACCGTGAACTTTCAATTGATTGGGTTCCTATAACACTGAATGATTTTTGTTTATATAATGTAACCAATGAGGTTGAACTTGGAAAGCTCCGGCAAAGAAAAATGGAGGCCTAGAAAGATTATTCTCTGGCTGGTTAAGTCCCGAAAGAAAAGGGTCTCCTTAGGTTTAGAGTACAATTTTTAATGTAACTGCGATTGTGGAAAAGACAGTATTTTGCTTAATGATATTCGATATAATAAAAAAATTGATCGAAAAAGATTTAAAATAAAATGATGAAGCTGCCCTCCGCCCTGAAAAATCTTTTAAGCATTGAGTAATCAATTGAGGAGGTAAAAACATTTTTCTTTTAATAATGAACAATTACTTTCCGTCTTAATTTTGATGAGATCAATTTTAGCCTTTGCGCACCATAGCAGATATTTATAGAAGCAGCTTTTCCAGTCTACCAGTCCACAAGACCCCTGCGAAATTAAAGTTGACTTCTAGGAGGAGGAATCGTGGCAGAGAAGATTAAGGGGTTCAAACGGCTAATTTACTGCTGATCCTTTGCTATTTTATTCTGTTCAGGGATAAGTGGGATAAGCCCACTACAACTTAGGAGCAGTCTATATCTTTTCAGCTCATTTGATATTCCGTTGAACTATTTTTCCTACTTTTACTCTCTGCACAATTTATAAATAGGCACTTTGCCTCATGAATAAATCATCACCAATTTCAGAGGGTATTTTACTTTCGTAGAGATTCTCCCCGGTCTATTTCTAAGTGAGTGTGAGATCCTTATCTTGCTTATAAATAGGAGAATTTATCTTATTCGTTTTCTTTCTTTTTCCTTAGCCTATTTTCTGCTAATTCGGTCTCTACCACTAGTCTATCTGGTTTTCTAAGAAACGGAATGTTTACTGCGCGCACACAAGAGAGGGCTGCAACCTAACTCCCAGATCTGTTTTTATTTTATTGTTTTCAATCTACCGAGCAGGCGCTTATGTGATATAATGTCAACGAGTTGCAAGTCTTGTGAACCTTAGTCTTCTTATGATTAATCATTATAAAGGAGACCAGGCCAATCCAAATCCCCCACAAGTGGCTTTAACTGTAAACAAGAATTCTAACACGGCAATAAGATGCATGTTTCCCTTCTTTCTCATTTTCATCCTCTTTGCTTGCTCTTGATCCCTCTCATCGCTTCCTTTTTCCATGCATTCTTTCAACTTTCCAAGGTCTCGCAGATATTAGAAAAGTTGATTGCGTGTAGAAAGTTCTCTTAGCGTTCACTGCTGCCAAGAAAATGAGAAATATACAATGTCATGCGGAGCAGGTGGAAGGACATAAAGGAGAAAGGAGGAGTTGGTTAGGAAATTGGACCATTACTTGCCATGTTTGGTATAAAGTGGGAATGAGAAATAAGCATGGGATAGAGACTTATTCTCTTAACTATGATTAGAAGATGTATTATTAATTGTCAGCGTACCAAACACACAAGTCTAACTTCCACTTTCTTGTTCTCTTAAAACTCCAAATTATTCATTCATAAAATTATTTTTAAATAAAGTGGTGCTTTCTCAAAGCACATGCTCGCAAAACGATTGTTTCAAGAGTTGCTTGTAACGACGAACCGCATCAATTAAGTGAATTGCGAAGTTGGTTGAACTTATCATTAAAGCATATGCTTGTTGCTGAAAAAGAGGAATAGTTGAGAATGGCACGAAGGAGGTGGCAGAAAGAATCTTACTGCCTGAGAACAACAAAACATGAGCAACAGAGCAATTATGAGAGCCGGGATTTCTGGGGCAGCAATTTTGGTGAGCATTGAAGTACTCGTTCTCCGTGTTTGGCTAGTTTTTGGCCCCTTCTTCATTTTTGATAGTGGGTGTAAAACCGTTTGATGAATTTAGTTGCAATTGCTTCATTACTTTACTTTATCACCACATGCTCTCTCCCATGAGTCCACCTGACCTCACGCCTCTCTCTCTCTGTAACAAAAAAAAAAAATTAAAGGGATACTTGTGCATACTAAAGGCATGAGAATAGAAACGAAATCATCGCAACACACTTGTGAGACCCATTAACGTAGGACTCATAACAATGCACCTCTTCAAAAATCAAGATTCCTGATAGCCCTAGATTACATTGCAGTTGAACTCATAACATATTCTTATACGGTACTCTTTCAGTCCTAAATGTAAAACCTTTATATACACTAGTATAAGGGTCTTACATTTATGACCGGATGAGTAATACCATTATCTTAAAACACCATCTCACACTATTACTAAAACCTTACTACGCTTTTTTGGCAGAATGTCAGGTCCTTTGTCGACCTTTCTTCACCACACTTTAGACGAGGTCGCATTTAATATAAATAGTTGACTACAGTAGAGCTACTTCATTTTTTTTCTTTATCTCCTGCCATTATGATGAATTGCTATTTGTGAGGCGGCATACATAGAGATACAGACATGCCGGTTCAACTTACAGTATTGATTATTTATTGACTGTGAAAGCTGGGAATTTGAATCCCTCTCTCCGTAGCTAGTGCTTGATGAATAGGAGGAGGGAGTACTACACTGTAAAATGAATCCTTATTTTGGAGGGTGTTAGTGGCGTAAGTAATGCAACTTTTTCATTTTGTCATCATTTAAGTATCATAAAGTAAAGTGTATGACTCCATTAGTCTACTTAATGACTTTACTAAAGTTATTTTTTAAAAGAAAAAAATGAACGGTGACATTTTTTTTTTTTGCGAATAAATTGTGACATATTTAAACCATCTAACTAAAAAAAAAAATGAATACTAATTAGGGCGCCGAGCCCACCAATCCCATAAATGGGTAACAAACACTTAGTATCTTCTACGGCGCCTGGCTAAATGATGCTACCTTGCAATCCATATGGGGTATTAAGAAAATGGAACCACCTCGTTTGGTTAGTTGTCATTATCAATTCAAAAATCACCTTAAGGTGAATTCCAAAGGACCATTTTGGTGTAATGGAAGGCAACCATGGATGGCTCAAGAAGGGGATGGAGAGAAAATGCCTTCGGATTCGGATGCCTGCTTCGCAGAAAGCACTCGTAGGATATGAGCTTCTAGAATTTGACTTGAAGCTTGGTAATGCTAAAATTACTGCCAATCAATGTCTGTGAGGGGATGGAGAGGGAAGAGAAAATTTTAATAAGTTAGATTTCAAAAAAAAAAATTGAAGAAGCAGTATTATAAAATTTTAGTTGAGAAAAATGATACTTGATGATATAAGACAAAAATATACAAACAAATGATTCAAACCGCTTCCTATTTGAAAAATGGGGGATGAGCATGCCAGAACAAAATAAACAATTAAAATTAATCTCAGAAGAAAAATTAAATTAAAAAAAAAGTGGCTGCGATTGTGTTTTGACAATCCGAGATGAAAATATATATTATATATGCAAAGCTTCAACCAATCAAAACCTATTAGGTAGTCAGAGAATAAAGATGAGACAGCTAATTGAAAAACTCTCTTTCTTCTGGGAATAAAATAAACCGGATCATGTGTTCTGAAAAAATGACCTGTTATTGAACTAGAAAAAGTCTGGATATACACACATTGAACCCCCAATAAAATAAATCAGAAGGAAATTAAAGGAGTTCCCCATCAGAAGTACAGTAAAAGTGTGTGTTTGTGTTAATTTGTTGGTGTTAACGGATTTTAATATACTCAAGCGAAAACAAAAGTCTGTTTCTAGATGGATTTGTTCAAATGCATAAGTTTCTAAGCATAAAACCCAACGCCAACGGAAGCAGAGCGGCACAAAGCAATTCTGTGAAGTGACGCAGAAGACCAAGAAGATTGGAATTAATTGGAGGAAGGGAGCAATGGAAGGCAGCCGGTAGGGGGTCAACGGTGCAACAGGGCGAGCAGCCGGTGAAGACTGGGAATAACAAAGCAAGACTGACCAAAAAAATGAAAAAAAAACCAACCAAAAAAAAAAAAAAGCAAGCCAGAATGGGAGAGGCGTCATTGCGGACGTCAGATTAAATTGGGATGGGACTATTGCTGTATTTGTTTATTCACTTAGTCAATCGTCAATGGCGCCAACCATATGTGAGTTAAATGGACTGACCATTCAACTTTCAATATTCTAATAATTACAGAGGCCATCATTTTCCCCCCTTATTCTCCCAATATCTTTCTGGAGTGCCTATCTATTATGCAATTGGAATTGTCAACCTGGAGTTGGATCTCCCCAAAAAATCCGCTCAAGTCGTGAACCACAACAGTTAAGAAATAAAAAATTAAAAAAAAAAAAAGTTTATCCCTGTCGTTTTGTCACGAAATAATTATTTTACCAAGTTCAATTATTCTAAACATTACTCCTTTCTAGTATTGTGTAACATGTTTGAGACATTTTCACTTAAATTAAGCAAAATTAGTCGCGTGTCCCTAAGTTGTTTTTTCCTTCCGTTTTTAAGTACTACTCTACAAATTAATTTTATTTATCTACCACAATTCAGGACCTACGTATTACTACTTTTGATGTTAATTATAAAACCTCATTTGTAATTTATAAATAAGATCTTATAATTAAGACAGGAAGTAGTATTATATAAGGTTTTAGCTTGACTAATTAATTAGCTATATGACTATATCAATATCAGTTCTTTTCCTTCCTAACTAGTAGCTCAAATAATATTCTTCCGATTCTTAATATAAGACCTATTTAACTAATTTGATTAGATTAAAGAAGTTAGATAAGTTAGTTAAATATAAAAAATATAACATATTTTTCCTAAAATACCACAAT